ATTAATTGTAGATGACAACTTGCCACTCAAATAATTTTTGACTGAAAACTATTTGGTGATAGAATCTTCTTTAAAATCTGTAACACTTTAGCGAATGGTTTTTGCTTGTTTGTTTTTAAGATAGAGACTCACCATGTATTCCAAGCTGATCTGTGGATTCTTCTTCCCCAGCTTCCAAGTACTGAGATTCCAAGAGTGGGCCCATGACACTTTTTGTCTGTATGAGAGAGGGTCTTACCATATAGACCCAGTCTAGAACTCACTGCGTGGATCAGGTTGCTTTCCATATTCTGGCAATAGTCCTGCCTCTTTTTCCCAGTACTGGGATTGCTGTCACCACAAGTTGCCTTTTGTGTATGTGAGATTTTGGTTCCCCTCCCTTTTTTTTTTTTTTTTTTCCTTTCTTGTTTTGGGGTGAGTGTTGCATTGGATACAGGAAGAACAGAAGTTCAAGGTCACCTTTGATTACTTTTTTTTTTTAAGAATGTTTACTTATTATTTATAGTGTATTCTGCCCAGATGAGGGCACTAGATCTCATTATAGATGGTTATGAGCCACCATGTGGTTGATAGGAATTGAACTCAGGATGTTTGGAAGAACAGCCAGTGCTCTGAGCCATTTTTCCAGCCCCCTAATTACATTTTTGAGTTGAAGGCCAGACTCCTCTACATGAAACCATCTCAAAACCCAGAAGAAAATAGAGTTATAATATGGCTAATTTTTATTTTCTGAGGCTGCATTCATTCTTCTATTTATTTATTGGGAAGGATTCTCACTGTGTAGCCTTGATGATGAACTCACTATGTAGACCAGGCTTATAGAGATTTATCTGCTTCTGCCTCCTGAGTGCTGAGGCTGTACTTAGAAATTAGAAAAAAGGTGCTTTTTAAGAGGCAAAAATTGAAGATGTTGATCAGTAGAAACAGTTCATAGAGCAAGATCTAGAAGAAAGTCTGTTAATGTTTAACAAAAGATAAGGATAAGACCAGGGCTATAGGTAGGGCACGCCTTAAATCCCAGTACTTGGGAGTCAGAGGCAGGCTGATCTCTGAGTTCAAGGCCAGCCTGGTCTACCAGGGAAGTTCTAGGATATCCAAGGAAGGCTACACAGGAGAAACCCTTCTCTAAAGGACAAGAGAAGTTGATTTTTGTGGTCAGATTTTAGGAAAGAATTGGGGAGTTCACTGAAATAGGAGGCAAGGTCCTTGAGAAATGTAGCATTTGAGGCTTGAAAGGACTTGAGAATCGTTTTGGAGAGTGTTATGACAGGATTCCTGCTATAACTGATATAACTATTATAACTGATAACCCAGAACTCAAGCAGTTTCTTTGACCTGGAAGGAAGTTGGAAAGGCCAATAGTAAAATAACAAGTGTAATAATATTACTAGGTAATAATATTAATGAGTATAGCAATAGTATTCAGGAAGATTTAGAAGCTAATGCATTTCAAGTACAGCCATGGTGGCTACCAGAGCTAAAGCACATGTCTTAATATAGTTGTAAAAAGACACATTAATAGTATGCTTAGTATAAAATAACATGGGAATTTTAAAAAGATTTATAACTGAGCTATACTCAGACTATAAATGGATTGAATGCTAGCCTTTAGGTTTACTAGGATTATGCATAAGTATTATTGACTCATAATCATCAGCACTGTTTACTGTGTGTGAAAGCAGAGCCTCAATTGAATGGCACATAATATATAAACACCTTTTCCATTGTTTTCTTATGTTGCTGGTGAGCACAATAATGGCAGGTGGCTCAGTTTCAGACAATGAAGAAAATAGATATCAAGTTAAACTTTAGAAGTTATCAGCTACCGTCAAGTTTAATTTTCCAGATAGCATACCAAATTCCTTATTTAAGTTTTAACTTCAAAGCTGGGCATGGTGATGCATGCCTTTTATCTTAGGGAGGCCTGTCTTTGGGGGTGGGGACCAAAAAGTTTTTGTTTCAAAAGACTTTAAATTCTTAAAATGTGTTTAGGAACACACACTGCAGGCTAGAAGGTTCTTTCTTCATCTTTTCATCTTCAACTAAAAATTACCTTTTATTGTGTCCACCAAGTAATCTGGCCTTCTTATGAGATCTCTAAGCCATTTTGAATTCATATTCTTTGTAATGGTGTTGCCTGCTTCTTGGAAGCAGAGGTTGAACATAATAGATGCTCAGTATACAAAAAGAAGTTTGTTTCAGTCTGTGATTTAGGTAGAATAACCAGGAATGGGAAGATCAACTGTTTGTTCTTAAAAATTCTCATGTTCACAAATACTTTCACAGTGAAAAGCTAATTTATTTCTAATTGTAGAGGGATTTAAATCCAGCAACGTCGAAACTCTGGCTGGAATATATAGACAAGCCCTTAGCACGCATCTTTAATCCCAAACAATGAAGGTAAAGTTAGTTGGTCGAAGGAAGTAGCCATGTTGGAAAGTGTCTAATTGAGAAGAAGACAAAGTGATAAATAAGAGGAAGATTTGACAGAATAGGATATGTCCAACTCTCACAAGAAGAGACAGGAAAAGGAGAGCAGTATATATAGAGAGGAAGAGAATAGGCAGCTTTATCAGGAGAGTTTTACAGAGACAGGTTGCAGAAAGAGAACAAGGTAGACATAGGTGAAGACAGAACAAACCAGAGAATGAAGAATAAGCCAGGAGATTAGAAAACTTTGTCAAAGTTAGTATGAAGCCAAGCAGAGCAATTCAGTCAGAAGTAGGAGAAGTCAGTTTGAATCAGTCAGCTTGGAAAGGCGTTTGAGCCAGAACAGCTGAGTTGAACCAGCCCCCAGAGTTCAGAAAGAACAAGAAAGGCTGAACTTATTCAGCAGTCTTGGAGGCTGAAAACATTCTAGGCTTACATTAGATTGTATGGAGGCTAGAAGCTTCCAGGACTGGGCCTAGGCCAGCAGACCGAGGCTATACACTTTGTAAAGGACAATTGCATCAAGCATAATAAAAGTTACTTTTAAAAAGTTTTTTTTTTTCATTTACTTGTTGGCAAGTAGATGGGCCATGTGTGTATGTGCCAGAATACAGTATTCTAAGGCATGCATGTTGAGGCTGTGGGACAGTTTGCACGAGTCTGATCTATCTTTCCATAGTATGTGTGTCAGGGATGGAATTCAGGTGTCTGTCAGATTTGGTGGCAAGTACCTTTACCTGCTGAGCCCTCTAGTTAGATTTAAAAGTATTATGTCTTTAAGAGACAACAGGCATGGTAAAAAACTAAACTACTTACATATATAAGTCTTTGCTTTCACAGCCCACTAAAAGCTGTTTTTCTGAGTTTAGTATTCCTCTTATTTCTCTTCTAAGACTAGTTTTTTATTTGGTAAAGAAGAAAATCTATTCAGTTTATGAAAACAAGTGTGCATGTGATGCTTTTTTGAGATAGGGTCTCCTTGTAGCCCAGGTTTGTCGCCAACTCTCAGTTCTCCTACCTCAGCTTTCTAAGTTCTGAGATACTTGGGTGTGTGTGGTTCTGCCTTGCCTACTCTCTGTCTTAGGAGCAAAAGCTGCATTTTTGATTGAGTTGGTTATAATACACACTGATGTTTTTGGAACTTGCTGTTTTGTGTCCTGTATGTGTGATGGATGTATGTGAATGAGCAGGTATGAGCATTTAGGCTTGTACATACAGAGCCCAGAACAGAAAGGTGACTTTCTCTGTTGCTCTTCCTCACTGCTTTAAAACAGAATCTCTTTTTCTAAGTGGGAAGCTCCGCTTTTCAGCTCGGCTGGCTGACTAACCAGGCAGAAGGCTGTCTGGATTAGCTCATGTCCTGCCCTCCCTGCAATGCTGTTCCGGGTGTGCACAGCTGTGCTGGTTTTTTATGTGTGTCTGGGGAGTCAAGCTCAAAAGTACTCATGTTTGCAGTGTAAGCACTCTACCTCACTTAGCTGTTTCCCCAGCTCCAGAACAATTGTTTTGTTTAAAGCTTTATTTATAGTGTTCTGCCTGCATGTCTGCCTCCTTGCCAGATGAGGGCACCAGATCTCATTATAGATGGTTGTGAGCTACCCTGTGGTTGCTGAGAACTGAACTCAGGACTTTTGGAAGAACAGCCAATGTTCTTAAACTCTGAGTCATCTCACCAGCTTCAATTGGTTTGTTTTGAAAGATTTATTTTTATGTATGAGTGTTTTCCTGCATGTGTGTTAATGCACCACATACTGATGTCTGTGGAGGCTAGAAGAGGCCATCAGATTCCTGAGAACTGGAGTTTTAGATGGTTGTGAGTCACAATGTGAGTGCTGAAAACTGAACCTGCAAGAACAGGGAGTGCTCTTAACCACTGAGCTGCCTTGCCAGCCTCTGCAGCCCCATAGCTAGCTGTCTCTCTCCCCTGTCCCCACTGCTGTTTTTTTTTCTATGCGTTTATGTGAGGGTTTTGGATTCTAGAGTTACAGACAGTTGTGAGCTGCCGTGTGGGTGCTGGGAATTGCATCCAGCTCCTCTGGAAGAGCAGTCAGTGCTCTTAACCTGAGCTGGCAACCTGTTGTTTTTTTTGTTTGTTTATTTTTGTTCTTTTCGGGGGGGGGGGGCTGTGGTCTCACTATGTAGCACAGGGTAGCCTCAGTCCCACTATATACTCCTGGCTGTTCTCAGATCTTAAGAGTTAGAATTATATGCTTGACCCATCAGGCCAAGAATGATTTATATATGTGTATGGTTTGTACATGTTTTGTGGGTGTATGCATGTGGAGGCCAGAGGTCAATGTCGGGGCTGTTTGAGATGGGGCCTTACTATGTATCCCTGGCTGTCCAAGTTGGCCTTAAACTCAGAGAGAGCTACCTGTCTCCGTCTCCACAGTGCTGGGATTTAGACTGTGTACCACCACATGTGTCCAATGGATGGTTCTTGAAGTAACTGGTTTAATGTCATCATTTTGGGCAAAAGTATAAATGGTTTCTTGGGAGGAAAGGAATTGAGGTCATTATTAGTTGACTTGAAATGCAATTTATCTTGATTATACTTTTTTTTCTTTCAGAAAAACCTTGTGTAGAAGCTGGGTCAGCAAGAACATCACTCCTTATACTGGTGTCCATTTTTTTATGTGCAGCTTTTGTTATGTTTTTGGTATATAAGAATTTTCCTCAGCTTAGTGAGTAAGTATACAGCTGAAAATGTCTAGATATTTTAGAAGTAAAGTGAATTAGAATAGAAGTATTACAGTGTTTGTATACCAATGCTCGTGGATTATAGCCAGTCTATGAGCCATGTTAGCTTCAGATTTCCTTACTGCTGTCTTGTGTTTTTGGTTTTTAGATAGTCTCTTACCTCTTTGCTTTAAATTTTCTGATTTCAACTGAGATATATCCCCTCCTTTCTTCATCCCCTTTCTTTTCTTTCCTTTTTTCTCTCTCTCTTTTATTAAAGAAACAAAATTAGAATTTTAAGAAAAGGGCAGGACAGTCATGGTGGTGCAAACCTTTAGTCCCGGCATCCCAGGGTAGAGGTGGATATATCTCTATGAATTGAAGGCTAACCTCCTTTATAAAGAAAAGCTTAGGAGTCCACATCCAAGGCTTTTCAAAGGTTTTTCAAGCTAGAAAGTTGCCTTACCTCTTGATTTTGTTTGTGTGGGTGTGGGTGTGGGTGGGTGTGTGGGTGTGGGTGTGACTTTCCTAGAACTGACTCCCTGATTGAGGTGGGCATCATATGTCCACCGTGCACACCTTTAGTCTCAGCAGCTGGAGCTCTGAGTTCTAGGACAGCCGGGGCTCCACAGAAAAAAGGGGGGAAAATCAGACTGGCTACATAGGTAACTTATTTGTCAATTATTTTTTTGTTTTGTTTTGGTATTTCAAGATAGGGTTTCTTTCTGTAGCCTTGGGTGGCCTGGACTCACTTTGTAGGCCAGGCTGGCCTCGAACTCATAGCAAGTACTGGTTGCTTATTTTGCTACATATATTTTGTATCCTTTTTATTCCCAAAAAAGAAAAGAAAATGTTCCAAAATAAGTAATGACTTTTCCTGTTAAAATGTTAATTCAGGGGCCCATTAGATGCCTTAGCAGGTAAAGACACTGGCCAACTATGAATGATGTCCTGAATTTGATTTCTAGGATCAGATGGTAGGAGAGAAGCTGCTCCTGAAAGCTGTCCTCCAACCCTCACACACATGTGCAAACACTATTAAATTATAAAAAATAGAGATTTAATTCAGTATTTAAAAATAAAATAAAAACTGGGTTTATTTTGATTTTTGAGATAGAGTCTCACTCTGTAGCCCTTGCTAGCCTGGATCTCACAGAAATCCACCTGCCTCAGCCTTCTGAGTGCTGGGATTACAGGTATGCACTGAGGTTACATAGGGAATTTAAAGCTAGACTAGACTACATGGTGAAACTGTTCCTCAAAATGGAGAGGAGGAAGATTAACTTTCCTGTATTTTGAGCTGGGATATTGCTGTATAAAGTGTGATTTCAGTAAAAGTTTTAGTGAACTTTTAAAAGATTTATTTACTATGTACATGAGTACTCTATCTGCATGTACACCTGCATGCCAGAAGAAAGCATCAAATCCCAGTAGAGATGGCTGTGAGCCACCATGTGGTTGCTGGGAGTTGAGCTCAGGACCTCTGGAAGAGCAGTGCTCTTAATTTATTGAGCCATCTCTCCAGACCGTGAATTTTTATTATAAATGATTATTGACCTTAGTTTAGAAAAATTACCCAAAAGTATGTTTTTTGCTTTTTTCTTTCGTTTGTTTGCTTGTTTGGTTTTGTTTTTTTGTTTTTTTTTTGAGACAGGGTTTCTCTTGTAGTCCTGGCTGTCCTAGACTCATAGACCAGGCTGGCCTGAACTCACAAAGATCTGACTGTCTCTGCCCCTCCCCTCCCAGTGCTGAGATTAAAGGCGTATACTACTATGTCAGGCTTGTTAAGTATGTTTTTAATATATTAATAGCGATGGTTCATTTCTTAATATTTAATTTAAAATTTAAGCCAGTATTGAAACAGATGATGCTTTTAATTTTTGGGTTGTGTCATTTTGAACTTTAATTTGTGCCTGTGTTTGTGTGTGTGTGTTTACAGACTGTTGAACCCAAAAAAAAAAAAATGTAAATTTTCCTTATTACAGATTAATTGCATTGCACCATTTTGGCTTAAAATCCCATATTTTGAATTTGAATTTGATTTTGATCATGGAACTCTGGTTTTTATATTTTCTTACATTACTATTTTATTTTTTAGAGAAGAAAGAGTGAATATGAAGGTTCCAAGAGATATGGATGATGCCAAGGCTCTAGGAAAAGTTCTCTCCAAATACAAGGACACCTTTTATGTACAAGTACTGGTTGCTTATTTTGCTACATATATTTTGTATCCTTTTATCTGAAAAAATATTTTCTAGTTTGTTCAAGAAACTATTCCCAAAAAAGAAAAGAAAATGTTCCAAAATAAGTAATGACTTTTCCTGTTAAAATGTTAATTCAGGGGCCCATTAGATGCCTTATCAGGTAAAGACACTGGCCAACTATGAATGATGTCCTGGATTTGATGCCTAGGATCAGATGGCAGGAGTTACCCTTCCCAGTCTGGTTTCTCTTTCTACTTCTTAACAAGTGCTTCTACTCACTGAGCCATCTTGCTAGCCCTAGTACTTTTGAATGTTAAACTCAGTGTGAAAAGCCACTTTTTAAATTGAGAGGACAGGGAGAGATTGGATCTTGGTGCATATAACAAAGATTTCATTTACTAGCACAGGGCTGTTAGAACTGGGTGAGCCATGTAAGCACATGAGAAAAAGGAACATGTAAGATTAGTTTTACTTCCATGTTGTACTTGAGTCTGTGTATCAGATAATTTTATCATTTCAAAATCCATGTGCATTTTGGTATGTGCTGGCATTGATCAAGGGCCTGCAGTGCACTGAATACCTTCGTCACCTCCATTCTTAGTTGAGCCCTAAAAATTATTGATGAGATTTTTGTTGTTGTTTTTAGAGTTAGAAACAGATCTTTATTTTAAACTCTGTTCTACCTAATCAGCGTTTTTCACCCACTGGGGAAGCAGAGACCTTCCCAGGCTTCCCTGTCTTTTGTTTAGGTGCTGCCTTTGTGTGGTCTGCGGCTGTGGTGGGGTGGCAAGCAGCAGCAGCAGCCATTGCTGCCTTCTTTGACGCCTGCTTAGCCTTTTTGCTTCCTTGGCAGCTCTGAGAGCCTGTTCTCGCCGAGCTTTCCTAACTTCAGGTTTCTGGTTCCATTGGCCATTATGTCAGCAGGAGATGCAGCAGTGATGGCCCGCTGGAACTTGACTACACAGCGGCCGGCTCTTTTCTTTTGAACCTCTTCCCACGGGCTCTTCTTGTGCTTTCCTCTGTAGAGGACAGTCCAGTTTGTCTGCCGAGGATTCCTTTTGGAAAGGAATGTGGACTCAAACTGGAAAACCTTCCTGTTGGTCCTGGCATAGCACTGCCCTGTCTTGTAGCCGCTGAAACTTCACAGCTCTACCTTCTTGGTGATAGCTGCTGGCTAGCCAGAGGAAAGATGTCAAAGAGAAAGCTTGATGAGATATTTTAATTTCTTTTGCTTTTTTGCTTTTTTGAGACAAGATCTCCTTGTATTGCCTTGGCTGACCTGGAACTCATTATGTAGACCAAACTGTCCTCAAACTCAAAAAGATCTGCTTGTTTCTCCCTACCCAGTGCCAAGATTAAAGGTGTGTGCCACTAAGCCTGGCCCTCCTTTCTTTTTGAACTATTTCTCTGAAGTACGCTTTGTATTTTATATTCAAAACATTTCAACTCAGACTTGCCTCCTCTCAGTGTCTCTCAGCAGCCATATAACTCCTATAGTCTCAAACTTGTATATAAAATTTTTTTGGAGGTGTGTCTATTAGGGTTTTTTTTTGTTGTTGTTGTTTTTAAAGGAAGCTCTCCTTAAGCTGCTGTGTGGCCAGTAATGACAGTGGACCTGTGATCCCTCTGAATCCATCTCCTACATATGCCACCATGCTTGGCTATTACTTTTATTTTGTTTTATCCTTTTATTTTAAATGTACTTATTTTTTGTTGATTGGTGTTTTGCTTACATGTATTTCTGGGTGAGGGTGTCAGAAGGCCTGGACCTGGAGTTATAGACAATTATGATCTACCATGTCAATACTAGGAATGAACCTGGGATCTTGGAAGAACAGACAGTGTTCTTAACCATTGAGCTGTTTCTCCAGTACCCTTTATTTTATTACTTATTTTGGCTGTCGTTTTTAAAAGTTTGTTATCTTGATTCTAGTGTTATTTCATTTAGCCAATTTAAAAGCATTGTAAATACATGCTAAGTGCATGTCTTATGTTTTGAGTATTACAGAATAAAATTCCTAAGCAGCTAGAATATGAATGGTAGATAAAGACATGGCACAGTTGTTAACACACCCAGTCCACATAGCACTAATTAGTGTGTTTTCAATCTCAGCACTAGGGTGGCGGAGGCAGGGGGTCTCGGAGTTTGAGTCTAACCTGGTCTATAAAGAAAGTTACAGGCCATCCAGGGTCTATGAAATGAGACCTGTCTCAAAAACACCAAAACAAACAAACAAAAAATTACTGAAGACTTTCTTTCGCTGAGCTGCCCGATTTGTCTCTGCCTAGTGCCAACTGGGTGTTCTTCCTAGATTTCCACTTGTTTATTACCAACATGTTTGTTTGTTTACTGCATTTTTGTATTATTAGTCAGTTGGTAGCTAGGTTGGAGCTGGAGGAATTCTGGCTGGCAACTTACATACTTTTTAGATATTTGGTTATGATTTTACATTATCATTTAATTATAAGTGGGGTATTCCTAGTCCCCAAACCAAAATATCCAGAATCTCTAAAATATACAACTTGTTTTAGGGCAGATATGATACTACAGATAGAAAAACTCACCAGACCTCATGGGACAGGTTTCAGTACAACGTAAAAGTAATAGTACTACATAAAATAATTTGTACTGTAATACATAAGTTTTGTGTTAAAATTTCTTCAGAGTATATTGTAAAACTTTTGCTTCATTATTTTCTAATCCTTAACTTAGAAGTTAACAGTTTGCAAACGTTTGCTATCCCAGGTTCCATATTCCTCAGTATACTCTCCGGATTTCTTTATCCCTTTCCACTAGCCTTATTCCTTGTTTGTTTGGTAAGTATGTGAAATGAATTTGGAGACTGGGAAAATAAGTAAAATATTGAGGGTTGGAAGTAGTGTCATTATGCATAGCTATAGAGGAAAGCCTCCTTATTCTTAAGATAACAGCTGGCAGTAATTACTGGAAATGGTCAAAAGTTTAATGAAAAATGCCTGTTTATTTTTGAGTTACAGTTTGAGAAAGGACTAGATCAAATGGGTTCTTATTCTCTAGATAAGAGATGTCATATAGGCTACCCTGCCTGGCCCTAAAAGAGCTAAAGTAAGCAAATGCATCTGCAGGAATGAGGTGGGAAAATACGAAGTGCACGTGTCTTCTTGTTTTCCAGTGTTCTGGACTTGGTGCCTCCTTCTGCTACATGCTCTCATACTTAGTGGGAAGACCTGTTGTATACAAGTACCTAACAGAGAAAGCAGTAAAATGGTCGCAGCAGGTAGGCATTGACTTTTGGTTTTGCTTTTTTGTGGGTTTTTTTTTTTTTTTTTTTTTTTTTTTTAGTTTTGTCATCCTTTAAAAAAAATGTTTGTTTTGAGATGGGGTCTCACTATGTAGCCCTGACTGGCTAGGAACTCACAGAGATCGCCTGCCTTTGTCTCCTAAGTGCTGGGATTATAGGAGCTGGAAAATTTACTTTCGTTTTAAAATTTCTTTTAAATTTGTACAGTTTATGTGTATGTACATGTCTTGTGTGTGTGTTGATGCCTGTGGAGGCCAGAATAGAGTGTCAGATCCCCTGGAGCTGGAGGTACAGGACTCAGGTCTTCTGTAAATCCACCAGGTGCTCGTGACTGCAGAGCTGTTGCTCTAGCCCCAGTCACTTCACTTTTTGAGACAGGGTATCATATAGCCCATGCTGACCGTGAATTCTTGATCTTCCTGTTGCCATTCTTTTTTGCAGAAGTCAATGTCAATATGAAGGCGTCCCAAAATTAGTTACTTCCGTCAGGATCTTTAAAAAGACTAGGAGCATGACGAAGTTGGCTCAGGCCTATAATTCCAACAGTATAATTCTGAGGAGGTGGATCGCAGGGAGTTTGAGACCAGCCTGAGCTACAAAGTGAGTCCAGGAGAACCAAGGCTACACAGTGAAAACATGTCTGGAAAAACAAGGAAACAAAACAAAACTAGGAATGATTAATATACTTTATACAGAATAATGCTACTATAGTCTTTGTGGTGTAGTAGACATTTAGTTATTGTAACAAACGCTGGAGAAAGACAAACATGATTTTGCTACAAGGTTTCAGTTTGTATCCTTAGCTGTGTTTGTTCTAGGGCAGTGTAAGACAGAGTTAGGGCAATGGAAGTTTGGCAGGGTCTATTCACCTCATGGCAAAAAGGAACCCAATAGAGGCTCCTGGATGGGAGCAACATACAAGTCCAAGAACACTCACTCTTCAAGTAGCCTGCTTCCTCCAGCCCCGCCCCGCCTCCCCAGTGTCTATTACCTTAATAGCACCAGCAAGTAGAGACCTAGGTTTCAATGTGTGTTACAGTTGGTAACTTTTCCTTTTAAACCATAACAGAATTCTATTTTTCTAATAGATCGAAAGAAATAATTACATCTTATAGGAAATATAGAGATCATTCTGCCTTAGCCCCTTGTTTTAGAAAAGAAAGGAAAGTTTTGTATTTTACTTCAATTTGTGATCACTTGTAAAACATCTTGAAATCTCTGGGTAGACTTCATGTAGACTTTGAATCTAGTGCCTTTTTTATATATGCATACTGAGTATTAGATTTACATATACAGTTTTCTTTGGAATAGCTGTTTTATGTAAGTGATTTTGCTAGTTATGCAGAAATATAAGTAATCAGTATTTAGTCAGTGAAAATTTTCTATATGCTTGTTTAATGTTTATCAACAATAGGTCAGTTCACTCACATATTGTAAGAGCATAAAATGAAGATGATGTAAAATCTTCTAAAAATTGGAAACTGGATGCCGGGATGTGTAACTTCAGTGGTAGCACATTTACCTAGTGTGAATGAGGCCGTAAGATCAAACACCCTCCCCATATCACCATGAAAACTAAGATCAGGGCTGATGACATGGCTCAGTGTATAAGATCATGGCCCTAAAAGCCTAACGGGTGAATTTGATCTCTGGAGCCCATCTAAACGTGAAGGAAGGAAAGAAAGAGCTTGTTCTACAGACTGTCTTTTGGCTTTGTCATGTGTGCATATGATGATAATTACTTTTTAAAGAAATTAACTCAGGGCTGGTAGCATGCACCTTTAATCCTAACATGGATAGGCAGAGGCAGGTGGGTCTCTGTAAATTCAAGGCCAACCTGGTCTTATCTGGTGAATGGCAGACCAGACAGAACTACATAGTGAAAACTTGTCTTTACAAAAGAAAAAAAGGGCCATCCTGGTGGCACCCGTCCCAGCACTCGGGAGGCAGAGGCAGGCAGGTCTTTGTAAGTTTGTGGGCCAGCCTGGTCTGCAAAGTGAGTCCAGGACAGCTAAGGCTACATAGAGAAACCCAGTCTCAATTTTTTTTTTGTTTTGTTTTTTTGTTTTGTTTTATATGTGTGTGTGGTTCTGGGGCTTTAACCCTGAAGGCAAATGTTATATCACTGACCTACATCCCCAGAAAACACACATTGTTCCTGTTGGGTAAATTGTGATGTGTCTGGTATGAGAATTTGGGGAATTTATATCACATTAAGCAATTTACCTTCAAGATTGGTTTTAACTAATACTGGTTCTTTTTTCATGACAGGTAGAGCGTCATAGAGAACATCTCATTAACTACATTATATTTTTGAGGATCACACCATTTCTGCCTAATTGGTTTATTAATATTACGTCACCTGTGATAAATGTGCCACTGAAAGTGTTTTTTATTGGCACTTTTCTAGGTAAGACCTCTGGCTCATGCTGTGTGACAGCTCATCATGTGCGTGTCCAACTGTCCAGCTGGCCTAGATTGCCTGCTGTGTGCAAAATCACCAGCACCATATATAACTCTTGGGCACAAAGCCTGGCCTAGATAGCTTGTTCAGTGTGTTCTAAGATGGTACCTCTTTAAAGGATGAACACTTTCTACTAGATATTATTTTAATAACCGTAAATTAAGTAGAACCCTTCACCTACTTTTTTTTTTAAACATTTTTATTTTTTGGTGATATTAGGGCTCAAAGCCCAAACCCAGGGCTTGTGTAGGTCAAGCCAGAAGTTCTTATACCACCAACCACATACATAGCCCCAGAGTATTTTTTTCTAAATGGTCCTGCAGCCCTTTCATCCTATGCCAGTGAAAGCCATTTAGGGCAGAGATGACAGGCTGTCAGGGCTGCGAGCTTTACAGGCTGAAAGCTCTTCTCCGGAACATGGACTGCATGCTCTCAGATGAGCAGCCCAGGTCAAGTCCCAGCTGCCTGTAGCCTTCCAGATGTTTGGTAGTGATGACTAGGAACTGACCAAAGACAGATTTTTTTTTTTTAAATACTTTTCTCTACTCCACAAACTTCACTGTGTTCCTTGCAAAACTTATTTGTTTACGTTTTTGGAGACAGGGTTTCTCTTTGTATCCTTGGTTGTCTTGGACTTGCTTCATAGACCAGGCTGGACTTGAACTTACAGCTTTTCACCTGCTTCTACCTCCCCAATTTCTGGGATTATAGGTGTGCACCATCTTGCCTTATGCAGTTCTGCCTTATGCAGAACTTTTTTAACTCCTGTCTTTCTCAGGGGAGAAAAGGAAACATTTAGTTTCTGCTTTTTGAGCTTCTTTCGTTTGCATTCTAACTAAATATTGAAATCCATTTTATTAGGGGAATTACCAAAAGTCTAGGGGAAACAAGATCAACAGACATCAAGGGAATGATAACAGGTTTTGAAATTAAGTGGACGTAACTCATTGAAGGGGGTTGAGTGCTTGCCTACTTAATACACAAGGCTCTGAGCTTGGTCTCCAGAACTACAGAAAAAAGAATTAATAATTTTGAGAATTTTGCCTTTCTTGAGGAAGACTACTGTTTTTCTTTGCAGTTTAAATTACTTGAATTTGGCATATAGATTTTTCATGTATTGAATATTAAAGTTTAATGCCTGTGAGGTCTTTTTTTTTTTTTTTACTTTTTTTTTTTTATATTTATGTATGAGTGTTCTATCTTCATGTATACCTGGCGTGCAGGTGTACATGAGGGCATCAGATCCCAGTATAGAGTTGTGAGCCCCCATGTGGTTGCTGGGGATTGAACTCAGGACCTCTGGAAGAGCAGACAGTGTTCTTAACCACTGAGCCATCTCTCAGCCCTGACTTTTATTTTTAAGTTATGTCTGTGTGAGAGTATATGCATGTGAGTGCAGGTACTTGTGAAGGCCAGAGGCATCAAATCTCCCTGGAGTTCTAAGCATTTGTGAACCATCCAACATGGATGTTGGGAACTGAACCCTGGTCCTTTGTAAGAATAGCAAGCATTCTTAACCACAAAGCCATCTTTCCAGCCCCTTGCATTTATTTTGTATTATATAAGCTGCTGTATCTACGCAGACTTTCAGTATCTTTGTGTGTGGAGGGCAGAGCTTGAACCAAGGGCCTTTTGCATGCTAGGCTGCCACCCTACCACTGAGCTACAGACCCTAACCCTTACATCGTTTTAATTTTAAGTTTATTCTACACAGTATGCTCAGCCTAGATTTTTGTGGTGGGCGCTGGGGTGAGCTTGAACCTAGAACTTAATGCATGCTGGGCAAATACCATTTGCATTAGATCTCTAGTCCTTTTTTTTTTTTTTTTTTAATCCCTTTTGGGACAAATTGTTCAGGCTAAGCTTGATCTCCTGCCTCAGCCTCTTCAATAGTAGTTGGAATTACAGGAGTTATTTAGTTTTAAAACATACCAAAAAGTTATGAAGTTACTCTCTGGATGACATTTTCTTGTTTTTATTTGCATTCCCCAAATTTCTGGTTTTCCTGGGTGGTGGTGGCACACACTGTTAATCCGGGCACTTGCAAGGCAGAGGCAGGTAGATCTTGAGCCAGCCCAGTCTACAGAGTGAGTTCCAAGACGGTGAAGGATACACAGAGAGACCCACAAAAGTATGGTTGAAAAAAAATTATCTGCGAGCTGGGTGTGGTGGCACAGACCTTTAATCCCGGCACTCAGGAGGCAGAGGCAGGTGGATCACTGTGAGTTCAAGGTCAGCCTGGTCTACAAAGAGTGTCCAGAACAGCCAAGGCTACACAGAGAAACCTGTCTCCAAAAACAAAAAAAAAATTCATTATCCATAGCTGATTATGAAAAACTGGGTTATTTATAGGTGAGACTAAACTTACTGAGCTTGAAGGTTTTTTAAAGTTTGTTTTATGTGGTACTGTAGATTAAACCTAGGGCCTTGAATATGCTGGGCAAGCATTCTGTCAGTAAGCTATTTCAAAGTGAGGTTTTTTTGTTTGTTTTTTGTTTTTAGACAGGATCTCTTTACATGTAGACCAGGGTTCAGACTCGAAGAGGCCCTTCCGCTTCTGCCTCCCAGGTGCTGAAGTTAAAGATGCGAGTCACCGTGCCCAGCCTGGTTTCTCTTTCTACCTCTGCATGGGTTCTAGGGGTCAGACTTAGGTCCCTAGGCTTCCAAAGCAAGTGCTGCTACTCACTGAGCCATCTTGTTAGCTCTCCTTTTAAATGTTAAACCCAATCTGAAAAGACGCTCTTTAAATTGAGAGGACAGGGAGAGATTGGGTCTTGATGCATATAACAGATTTCATTTACTAGCACAGGCTGTTAGAACTGGGTGAGCCATGTAAGCACATGAGAAAAAGGAACATGTAAGGTTAATTTTACTTCCATGTTGTACTTGAGTCTGTGTCAGATAATTTTATCATTTCAAAGTGTAATCCATGTGCAGCATGCTGGCATTGATTTATTGCCTTCTATGTCCCAAGTACCTGTTTTAAATTCTTAATCCTTTCCTCATAATGCAGATACCTGAGTTCCTAAAAGATACTATGATTAAATATGATTTGGGGTTCTGGAGAGACGGCTCAGTGGTTAAGAGTGCCTGCTGCTCTTATGGTGGAGCTGGGTTCAGTTCCCACATGGGGCTCACTCCTGTGGGTAAGTCTAATGTAGGGATCGGATGCCCTCTTGTGGCTTCTATGGGTACTGCAATACATGGTGTACTCACATGTGCACAATACATGCATACATATGAAAAAATGGTGGTTTTCACTTTAATTGACAGGCTGCCGTCACTACTTACTTACTGTTTTTTTTTTTATTTTAGGTGTTGCACCTCCCTCTTTTGTAGCAATTAAGGCAGGAACGACTCTGTATCAGCTTACAACAGCAGGAGAAGCTGTTTCCTGGAACTCAGTATTTATTTTAATGATTTTGGCTCTTCTTTCTATTCTGCCTGCCATCTTCCAAAAAAAATTAAAACAGAAATTTGAGTGAAGAATCACAGGTTTTCGTTTACCACCACCATCACCACCATCATCATCTCAGGTTAGCAGGTGTATTCATTTTATGCTTTGAAATCACTTCAGTGACTGAAGGAAGGACTTTTAAAGTAAAATATCCCATGAGACAGTTAAAATAATGCATTTATGTGGCAAGGGAGAACAGAAATTGGTATACTATGAGAAGTCCTGTCATCACACCTGTGGGAAATACCTTACACATTACTGTTCGTGAGTAGCTCTGAGACATCACAGTGGCCTGGTCTGCAGTTGTTGCTCTAAATAATTCGTTTAGAGTGTTTTTCTCGTTTATGTCTGCGTAATGACTAAAATAGTGAGCTCAGGCCCAGTGGCACAGCTGTACTCCCAGCTCTTCAGGGGGCTGTGGCCGGAGGACTGCTAGTTTGAGGCCAGCCCTGCAGTAAAGTAGTTACCAACAGTGAGACTAAATAAAATAAAAGTTCAGAGCACAAACGAATACTTGAAGCAAAAGAGTCTTTCATTTTCTTTCTCTGACTGAAAAAAACAAGCACTTTCCGGAAGCCAAGCACTTTTCATTGTAGCAAGGATGAGTTATTTACGTTTTAGGAAATTTTATCATGGATTAGTCTGATAATTTAAATTCTGGCCAGTCTGTTTTCATCTTTTTCTAGGTTTTACAGTATTTCCATCATACCTATGTAAAAGGAGAATTATATACTTGTATCATATTGGTGTTGATAATGTATATTCAGATAATAATATTTTGTTAGTGTCTTTATTATCTCAAAAGGAGTTCTAAAAGTAAATACTGGAAGCATATACTTTTTAGACATTAATTATTTTATAATGAAACAACTGGCAGTAAGACATTAGTGGTTAATATAGTCTATTTGTTCCAGTGACTGTAAAGCTTGTCTCATAGTTCTGTCTGCTCATTAGAGAACGTATTGTGAAATTACCTTCTGTGCATGATATATCTGTGCAATTGCAGTGTTGCCTTCCCCTGGCTACCTTTGGGACAGCACTTGATTAGCACACTTTTTCCCACTGTCTTCCCTCCACACGGTGATTGGTGTCCCCACCATTTCGTGGGAGAGACTTCTTGGCTGTTTATGGATGACCTTTATTCCTTGCCAGGACAAAGTGATATAAATCACTCTAAGATCCAGTTGCTTTGTTCAACAGTTGCTTTACTGGCATGGGAAGTCATTGTGTTTTTATTCTTCAAAGTCTGATCATCTCAAAGCCTGTTTCTCCTGCAAAATGTGGACTAATCCTTTTCTGTCACAGTATTAACATGTGGATATATTACAAATACAAGGAAATAATATTGATAAATATTGTAGTCTATCTTGTGTCCTTTTGTGTGAAATTGTTTTGTCTAGCAAAGTTTTCTTTCTTATTGACCAGAGGCTGAGTAATAAAGCCTTTGTTGTGTTTATAAATGAAATAAACACATAGCTGTTTGGGGCTAAGTTTACAAATATTACTGTATAAATATAATTGAAGCTGGGCATGGTGACATGCTTGCAATCCCAAGATTTGGGAAGAGGAGGTTCAGGGTTAACGTTGGCTACATAGTGAGTTTGAGGCCATAACCTGGGCTATGTAAAAACCTGACTCAGAAAACATATATATTCATTCATGTGAATTTCTATTAGGCCTTTACAAATAAATAAAAGCTTGGACAACAGGAACATCCTGTTGTAATGGAAAGTCAAGCAGGTAATGAAGCAATCTGTACACAGAAAAAGACTATTTTGGTTTGTGTATGCTGCCTACCCTATGCTGAGAGTGTTTTCTCTGTCCTCTAGCATATGCCTTCTTTCCCTTTGCTATATTTTTTTCATATATTTAACAGGAGCTGCCACTTTGGTGGGAAATACTTGCTACTCCCAGTAGAAGTAACCATTGTTTTAACATTTTACCCTTGACTGGACCAAGCATGGTGACTCATACCCAATGCTTGGAAGGAGGATAAGGAGCTGGTGGACAGCTTGGGTTGCCTGGGATCTTGTCTCAGGAAAAAACAACTCGGCAGTAGATTGTATCACAAATAGTGGGTGTCACCTGTGTGCATGGAGCACAGATTTGAAACAATGCCAAGCAAATCCATGCTTTAAGCACTCTCTTTTATCTTTGGTGCCAGATACTGACTCTAGGGCCTTGCCCATGCTTCTGCATGCATCATACCGATTCCCCGTAATAACCACCAAGAGAATGTCCTGTTGTAATGGAAAGTCAAGCAGGCTAATGAAGCAGGCTGTATACTGAAAGAGACTGCTTCCTTCTCAGTTTCTGGTTCTTTTGTGGAGCTTTGTTATTTTGAATGTAAACTAGCCAGGCGATGGTAGCTCATTTGAGAGGCAGAGCCAGGTGCATCTCTGAATTCAAGGCCAGCCTGGTCTACAGAGCAAGTTTCAGGACAGCCAGGGCTATATAGAAAGCCACCCACCCTCCTCTCCCTGCAAAAAAGAAAGAAAAAAACAAAACAAAAAAAATCACACAAAATTGGGAGCTAGAGGGTTGGCTCAGTGGCTAAAGAACCCTGGCTCCTCTTCCAGAAGACTCAGGTTCAATTCTTATCACCCACATGGCAGCTCACAACTATCTGTAAGTCTAATGCCAGGGCTCTGACACTCTCACACAGACATACATTCAAGCAAAACACCAATGAACATAAAAATAAAATAAATTATATATTTCTAAAAGTGGAAATAACTTCCCTACCAGTGATATTTGAATGATCCAGTTTCTCTTTTTAGCAAGTGTGTTTGTAATAGCCAGACATGGAAGGAACTCAGGTGTCTTTCGATGGATGAGTGTTAAAAATGAAGTCAAAATTTTAAAAAAGAGCTAGGGGTGGTTGCACATGTAGAATCCTACCCTCAAGAGGTAGGGGCAAAAGGAATAGACATTTAAGGCCAGCCTGATCTACATAATCAAACCCTATCTTCAAGCCAAACAAAACATCCATTTCCTCTATCATTTCAATCACTAGGTTTGAGATACAGCTCAGTAGCAAAGTGCTTGCCTAGCATGTCTGAGGCTTCTGGGTTCATCCTTTCTAGAAAGCATACAACCAAAGAGTAGAAACTAAAGAGACTAGCTGAGTTGATATTTACCTGTAAAACTAGCTATGGCTGGAGAAGCACATTGAGTTTAATGCTAATATTAAGAACCTATCTCAGAAACATAAAGGGGCTGGAGAGGTGGTTTTTCTGTTTCTGAGATAACCGTGGTCTGTCCAAGAACGGAAACTGGGCCATGATAAGTAAGGTTGATCTATTTCCACAAACTGCTCCTTTGAGAAAAGGAAGAGTAGCTGGGACTGCAGTTGAGTAGTGGTATACTTGCATGCACTGTACCACCTTAGGTGCAGTTCATAAGTCTTGCAAGAGAGAAGAAGAAAGTAAAGGAATAGATGAGGTTGATTTGCAGGAGCATAGCTGGGTGGGCTACCAGGTTATGGACTTGGTGACTTCGGAGAGAAGCTGGGCCAGGAACTCTTCTATTTCTGCATCTGAAGCATTCAGTGCCCCAACTTGCCAACATTTTGCATGACAAGTGTTGGTGAGAACATTCTGAAGGTAAAGCCCAAAGATCTGAGTTGGAAGAGTGGTGCCCAGTTTATGTCCTCAAAACTTTAGGTTTGTCTGTTTTAAATAAAGATTTGATGAGTGCCTACAAGGTGTGTGTTATGGCTTTTAAATTGACCACAGGTAACAAATTAGTCTATCATTACTATTATTATTACTAGTATTATAATGGAACAGTCTGTTGTGTGATATTTTGAAGTTGGTTTTGAACAGCTGGCTGTATTCCAGATCTATTAAGAGAAAAAAAAAAAAAGGACCTAAAGAAGCAATTTTAGGTGTTTTTTGGTTTTTTTTTTATTTTTATTTTTTAATATTACAGGTTATTTACTTTGTATCCCAGCTGTAGCCCACTCCTTCATTCCCTCCCAATCCCACCCTTGTTTTTGTTTTTAAAAGATTTTATTTAATGAGTGTTCTGTATGCATGTACACCTGCATGCCAGAAGAGGGCATCAGATTCCAGTAGAGATGATTGTGAGCCACCATGTGGCTGCTGGAAACTTGGGACCCCTGGAAGAGCAGACAGCGCTCTTAAAACTGCTGAGCCATCTCTCCAGCCCCAATTTTAGGTGTTTTGAGAAATATATCAGGGTAGGAGAAATTACTCAGAGGTTAAGAGCATTTGTTTCTCTTGCAAAGAACCAAGATTTGAGTCCCAGTAACCACATGGTGGCCCACAATCATCTGTAACTTAAGTTCCAGAGGATTCTGTACCCTCTTCTGACCTTGGTGGGCACCAGCCATGCATGTGGTGAATAGACATACATTGTGGGCAGTTGGAGAGATAGTTCAGCAGTTAAGGTTGACTGTTGCTCACCTTTGACCTTTGTGCTGCAAACACCTGTAACTTTAGCTCCAAGGACACCTATAGAGACACAAAAGCATAGATAAGTCTTTAAAACATGATGGTAATATGTGCGTGGTGGCACACACCTTTAATCCTAGCACCCAGGGAGGCAGAAGCAGGCTGCTCTACAAAGGACAGACAAGGCTACAGTGAAATCCTGTCTCTTAAAAACAAAGCCATGATGGTTGTGATCCTGAAAACTGATGCAGAGTTCCAGATCAGCTGAACTACAGTAAAATACCATCCTGTCTAAAGAATAAAGGGGAGAAGAATTAGTGAGCCAGATTCCTGGGAGTTGTTACAAGAAAAATTTAGGATGGTATCCCACATCTTTAATCCCAGCAAAAGAGGCAGGGAAATCTCTGAATTGAGGCCAGCATGGTCTATATACCAAGTTCATGCCACCCACAGCTACAAAGTGAGACCCTGTTCCCCCCCTCCGACAAATATATATATGTCCCAGACCAGCCTTGAGTTTACTCTTGCTGAGAATAACCTTGAACTTCTGGTCCTTTGGCTGTACCCTCCAGTATTCCGGCAATATCTTTAACTGAATGCTCAATAAGAAGTAAAGCAAGAAGTCATCAGTAGTAAAGTAAGGGGTTGGTCCTGATGGTCCCTGTCTGTAATCCTACCATTTAGGAGGTGGAGGCAGGAGAATTCACAAGTTGAGGGTCATCCTCAGTTACACAGTAAATTTGAGCTTAGCCTAATCTACACTCTGCCAATCTACACTGTCCCCTAGCCCTTAATGGACTGGCAGGCATTCCATGTCAGATTTTCAGTACTCCTACTGGGCTCATCCTGTACTGGCCTGGGAACTCCCATATCACAGTGATGCTGGAATTTTATGAATATTGTAAAGGAATGAAAGCAGAAAAAAAGCAGACACTCATTGCCCATAGAGTTTCAGTTTGTATGCACAAGTCTTTCTCCCATCACATACCTTAAGTTTTTGAAAGATTAGTATTTTTTAAAAGATTTATTTAGTATGTATACAATGTTCTGTCTATATGTACACCTGCATGCAAGAAGAGAACCACTTTGTGCTTCACAACCATCTATAATGAGATCTGGTGCTGCCTTCTGGTGTGTAGGTGTACATGCAGGTAGAATATTGTATACATGATAAATAAATCTTAAAAAAAATCTATTAACAATAAAAAAGATAGCAACAAAGTCTGGGCGTGGTGGCACATGCCTGTAATCTCAGCACTCAGGAGGTAGGATCTTTGTGAATTGGAGACCAGCCTAGTCTACTTAAGCAAGTCTAGGATGGTCAAGGCTATGCAGAGAAACCCTGTCTTGAAAAAAACAATAATAATAATAATGCCAAGCATGGTAATCCCAGCCCTGGGGAGGCAGAGGCAGACAGATCTATGTGAGAATGATGCTTGCCTGGTCTACAAAGTGAATCTAGGATAGCCAAACCAAGGCTACACAGAAAAACCCTGTCTTGAAAAACAAAAAAACAACAACAAAAAAGAAAAAGATAACAATAGCAAAGTATTAAACCAAATGTGTGGTCCTGAGCACAGTGCCCTGTGTGTGAGTGGAGTGGCAATGAAGGTGGCCCTAGGCATAGAAGAAAAGTATAGATGCTGCCTGCCCACTGACCATCTCTACAGTGCTTGCAATCAGATGAGGAGGGTCAAAGGTGAGAGGGGAAAGCACAACAGATGTTGACTTTTTAGCTCTGCAAATCTGTATCCTGCTGTCTACCAGCCACATGCTGGCAAATATCCAGCAGCCCTGCTATGAGCACAAGCTGTGTATGTGGAAAGGCCGCCTCTTCAGAAACTCCTGCCACCTGTTGGAAGACTGTCATAAAAACGAAACAAATTAAAATGGTGCCCACAATGAGACCTATTTGATGGAACAATCTATAAGTTGTATATATTTTCAGATTAATAAAGTTTGCTATCTTCAGTGGGTAGTTCTGCGTTTGGTCTATCAAGATTCATAATGTAACCACCACTACAGTAAAGATACATGACAAGTCTATCATCCTGTCTCAAAATCTTTCAGAATCGGGATATGGTGCCATATGACTTTAAATCCCATTACTGTGGAGACAGAGACAGCTATGAGTTTGAAAGCAGCCTGTTTTATATGGAGTTTTAAATCAGGCCAGCTTAAGACATAGTGAGACCCTGTTTCAAAATAAACAAAAATTGCAAAAATCAGAGTTCAGCTAGAGCTAAATATATCTCTTTGGGATCTGGGCCAAGGCCTTTCATTTCTTCCTCCGTAGACCATCCGGCCTTTCCCAGGAAGCTTTTGGCCCCAAGTTGATGAGAATAACGGTGCCACTGTGTTCACAGTCTAAGGAAAAAGGCCGGGTGCAGCACACAAGAGGCCATCTGGTCTGATTCTGAAAAGGTTTTTAGTCCAATGGGACATGGGAGGAGGAGAGGGTCTGAGAGAAGCAACCATTAGTGTCTCAGGTGGTGGAGAGCCAAAGATACTCTCCTCTGCTTTCTGGGTCTGACCACCCCACCCTACACCACACACACACACACACACACACACACACACACACACACGCAAACACAGCTACATATATATCTAAGGACAGGATCAGTCCTACACTTGAGTTTTTTCATACAGAAAAAAAACAAACCTCAGACACACACTTACACACATTCACATGTTCACATAATACTTTTGGGAATGTTGTAACACTCGGGGACATTACCAACACTTGCTCCTGTTTCTCAACTTCATCCTTTCTCAGTTGCAGCATCAGAAGTGGCCTGAGGCTGACTGATTTTGGAGGCTTCTTTGTTTTTGTCAGTTATGTGGCTGAAAGGTTATGCCTGTTAAAGACTGGAGCAGAGGTAGTTGCGGATTCAGAGGAGATGACACATAATTGTTCTCCAGGAGTCAGCTTTGTTAAGAGAAAGGGCCTCCAAGCTGGGCAGTGGTGGTACATGCCTTTATCCCAGCTCTTGGAAGGCAGAGGCAGTGGGATCTGTGAGTTCCAGGCCAGCCTGGTCCATGGAGCGAGTTCTAGGAAATCCAAGGCTACACAGAGAAACCCTGTATTGAAAAACAAAACAAGAAAACAATAGGGCTAGAGAGACAAATCAGGAGTGCTGCTCTTCCAGAGGTCAGGAGTTGGGCTCCTAGTACCCAAGTCAGGTGACTCACAGCTCCAGACAACCCTGTCTGGTTCTGGCACACACAGGCACACCGTATCAGAAACAGTTTATCAGGGGCTTAAACAGGAAAGAGAAACTTTCCTTTAAAACCCAGAGAAGGGTGGGGGTAGGGGAGCGCATGTTTGCAGAGGCAGGCAGATCTCTGTGAGTTCAAGGCCATCCTAGTCTACAAAGTGAGTCCAGGACAGCCAAGGCTACACAGAGAAACCCTGTCTCAAAAAACAAAATCTCTAAAACCTAGAGAGGTGCCCAGCATGGTGGTGCACGATTTTAATCCCAGCACTTGGGAGGCAGAGGCAGGTAGATCTCAGAATTTAACATCATGGTTTACATACAGAGTTCTAGGTAAGCCAGAGCTACACAGTGAGACTGCTCAAAAACAAAGTGGCCGAAGACATGGCTCAGTAGTTGACACTTGCTCCTCTTGCAGAGAACCGGGGTTCAATTGCTAGCACCCAAATCAGGGGCTCACAACCATCTCTTATTCCAGTTCCAAGGACTCCAGCACTCTCTTCTGACTTCTGCAGGCACCAGGAACACAAACAGTGCACATATATGCAGACAATACACTCATAAAATAAATTAAAAAAAAAAAAAACACCCTACAGAGTAGTTTCCTTAAGAGGTTTAGTTTAAAGAATAAAAGCAATACAAATGGAGCTTCCATAATGAAATCATTAAACAAATGAAAATATCTGTCTGTGCACATTTTCTGGGGCTCACAGTTTTCCACCATGGGATTTAGTCTGGGGTTACATTTGTCACCAGAGAACAGGGAGGAGCCAGGCCCTGGTTAAGACCATCAGTTAGGAACTGTGAAACTGCAACGGAGCATAGCCACTTAACTTTGCTGCAGGGAAGGGGTTTTGAGGGTGTGGCCTGATTTTCAGTTCTTTTAGAAAGTGTGTTGTTGAGAGGCAGGAGGAGTACTGTTGATAAGCAGTACTAGATGGAAGTGTGGGCCAGTCCGGTGTGGGAAGGTGAAATACATATGCCTTCTTAGGTAAAAATCAATCAGAGCGATGACCATTCAGCATGGTGACACATGCGTATAATCCTAACACACAGAGACGGGTAG